GCTGCTCCTTCCAGTCTTTCTAGGCTATTCCAAGACTTCAAATGCAGCCTTTCAGAAATAGGGTACCCAAAATATAAGCATCTTTTATTGGCCTGTGGACAGGGGTGGAAGTGGAGATGACTGTATTAGGCAGGACTCTTAATAGCAAGTGATAGAAACCCAATTCAAATGGACCTGAGAAAGGAGAAATTATATGGCTCATGTAACTATAGAGGGCTAGTTTCAGGCATGACTGAGTCAAGAATCAGTTTCTTTTCTTTGTGAGGAAATAACTCTTGGTGGCCTTACATTACATTATAAAAAGATATTTTTCAATACTTTCTAATTTCAACAAGAGTCCCAAAGCTGATGCTCATTGGCCGTGATTGGTCAGGTCAGGTTATATGTCCATCCTGGTACCAATCACGAAAATCAGGGATAAAGCAGGATGGTTAATCTTCTTTTAGATATGGAATTGGAGTTCATTTTACCCAAACTTAATGAACTGAGAGTGGGTGTTGGGAGAATATTCAAAGGGAAACCAGGATGCATTTACTAGAGGAAGGGGCAATTTATACTAGGCAAGTGGAATTTGCAGACATCCACTACAAGGAGACTCTGCACTGACAGCAATAAAGAAGACAATGATAACATGCCACATGATAGGAAGACAATGGTGACAATACATTTGCTTTTGCAAGAGATCTGGGAGAAAAACCACCCAAGTGTCAGGTTCTGAAAGCAGAGAAGGAGACACAGTGGTAGCCACCAACCCACAAGTCCCTAACTGTTCACCCATGGGCTGTCTTAAATATGTGTCTGGGGTATTTCCCTGGTAGCATGAGCCCCAGGTACTGGTTGATGCCAGATGACAATCCAGATAACTATCCTCCATCCTGAAATCTACTGTTCATCAGGGCTTAAGACACCTAGTTCATCTTTATGAGTGGTAGACATCTATAAATTTGAATCATATCTTGAGTAGATAAATACCCAGAATAAGGCTATCATTAAAATCCATTATAGAGCAATGTTTTACACTAAGTTCTGCATATATATAATGTCACTGCCTTTTTGCTGCTATTACCAAAGGAAGGCTATCTCTTAATGATTCACTTTTATTATCATGATCATTGTCACAAGGATCATCTAATTCATTTATACCGCACTTGTTGCTGCAGAATATAAATGATGTTTCTTAGGCTAGTCTCGACTCCCACTCCACTCATGTGACCCAGGCCAGTGGAACTGCAGCAGTCAAGCAGGAGGGTCCCCTCAGAACCCACATTAGCTCATGCCACACAATAATGTGGTGTTTCATTCCTTGTCTGTGCCCCCTATTAAATTGTGGGTTCCTTAACAATGGTAATTCTCTTTGATTCCTGATATGCCCTGTACCCAGCATATCAAAACCATGTAATAAGTGCCATACCTAATGATTATAAAACTAATAAAAATAAGACATAGTCCCTAAATCCAAGAAGCCTGTAGCCCATTAATTACAAAAATAATTACAGTAATGATGACATTAACTGATGTTCATCAAGTGCTTTGTATTAGGTACTGAGCCATGTGGTTTGCATGCACTATCCCACATAATAATCATGACATGGTATTGCTACCAGCTTTCATAGTTGAAGAAGGTGACATTCGCAGAGTAAGCCGAAGTCAGGTCACTTGAAAGTGGTGGAGTCAGTGCATTTTAAGATGCATGTTTCTAGCCACTAAACTAGTGCTGTCTCTATCAAGGCAAGATGTATGAAAGGTGGGGGAAGCTGGATCAATCAATAACCAAGGGATTGGCAGGTCATTCCCAGGACCAACCACATTGACATCAAGTCAAATCTTATATAAAGATATTAGGCTGGTCCAAGTTTTAACTAATGAGAATCTTTGAAGAATCAGAGGAATACACGAAACCTACAGATTGGTCTGTGGCACTGTCCAAAGGCCAGTGGAAATGCAAGCACCTACTTTTCTCTCTGGTTTCCCCTCTCAGCTTGGAGAAGTGTCTGCATGACCTTCTCTAAATATGGGATCGAAAAGAATAAGAAGGCCAAGAAAAAATGGTGCACACTTATAATCCCAGCTACTCAGGAGGCTAAGGCAGAAGGATCACAAGTTCAAAGCCAGCCTGTGCAACTTAAGGAGACCCTGTATCAAAATAAAAAATTCAAAAGACTAAGAATGTAGCTCAGTGTTAGAGTGCTTATATAGCATGCACAAGGCCCTAGGATCAATCCAAGTACAAAACACACACACAGGCTAAGGTTGTAGCTCAGTGGTAGAGTGCTCGCCTTGCACATGGAGGGCACTGGGTTTGATCCTTAGCACCACATAAAAATAAAATAAAGGTATTGTGTCCATCTACAAGTAAAAAAAAATATTTAAAACACACATAGATGCATAGATGCTTCCCAAGATGGGTGAGCTCTGCCTCTTACAAGTTTTTTCACATTTCTCAGAATGGAGTTAGAAATGGAGACCAGGATGCATTTGTACATATTATATAAGCTTTGTGACTTTCCCCAGGCAATTATTTCTGCTCTTCTCTGTTGCCTTCCCAGAGGGATCTGAGCAGAAACCAGAGGAAAGGGCAGAACAAGGAAGCAACCGTCCCATCAGACTGTTAGGCCAGGAGGAAGCATGAGGAATAGGTGGGGAATAGCAATTTTAATTCCAGGATCTGTGGTCAAGTGGGTAATAAAGATCCCAAAGTTTGGTTGAATATGAGAAGCCAAAGCACATTCTTCTTGTCAAGCTGGATAGGACTTCTGAAGGGAACTTTGTATGGAGCTAATAACCTCCCAGAACTAGGACTATGCATCATGGGTAGGTTTGTGCAGGTGTGGGATATGTGTGTTACTGCTCAACAACCAAATTGTGTCATCGTGTTATTCTTTCTACGAGCATTGATCGTGTATGGGTGCATATGGGTATGCTGTGTGCACACTGAGCCAGGTGATGGGAAACCTGGAAGAACTATTTTCCCACTGGGAATCTTGRGGGGCATGTAGATGAGTAAATTATCAATGACAGTACAGTGTTAGAGCCCCCCAAGAGACAAACAGAGGATGCTATGAGGTTGCAAGGAAGCTACCTACCACCATCATGGCTGGAAGAGGGTAGAAGGTGAGCTGCAGTGGGCTTCAAAACACTGGATGAGCACTAAGGAATGAATGGAACCCACCCAGCACGACTGTAGGGATCAGGGAGCCTTTTGAAGTAGATGAAACAGCAGGGCTTAAAATCAGGAAGCAAAATAGAGCATGGCATTTCTAGGACCTGCAAGAAAGTCCAGTTGGTGCCCAGGAGGGAGAGGTAGGAAGCAGCAGGAGATGGCACTGGGCCAGCCACACACAGAGTTTTGGGCTTCATCCTGAAGCCAGTGTGGTCTCTGTCACTGGGTTTTCCTTCCAAGGGAGAAAATGATGAGGACCACTTACAGGACTGTCTTGGGTGGTCGGTGCTTCAGCTGCCAATAACAAAAAGATTCCTGCTTCTCCAAAGCATCCAGTTCCAACATCCAGTCATCTTGCAGGAAGAACCCGAGGAAGCACTTTGTCCATCTTGTCCTGACCATAAAGACAGAGTGTAGGTGGCTTGATGCCATTAAACCCTCCTACCCTGAGAGCATGCGTTTTGGTAATCAGAGCCTATCAGAAATTCTCATGGCATTTTTTCCAGCCTAATTCAAGTTCAGTGGGTTCAGCCTTTGCAGCAACTGAGAATCACCTGGGAAGTTTGAAAAACAATGCCAATGCCCAGGGCACCCCTGGGGATTCTGATCCAATGGGATGGCACAGCTCAGTGTTGGTGTTTTTTTCAGGCTCCCCAGGTGATCCCTGGAAGCCAGGGTTGAGAATCACTGTCAAAACACAGCCTAGCAACGGGAACTCTAAAAAATGGAATGGGCTGCCTTTGCCAGGTCCTCCAGCCRAATAGATTCTGGGTGGGCTTTGCAAACCTTCTAGGCACATCACCAAAAGCACCCTGTGGCCACTACTCTTGGTGCTTCTTCCTATTTCCCTCCACCCCAACTCCCTTTCACAGTAGATGCAGAAGGACCATGTCCTAAGGCCAACATCAGGGAGTGGCTCCTGTGGGCATCTTTCACTCCACGAGCCACGTTGTCAGTGTGGTACTCTAAAGCTTCATCAAGGATTTTCCCCCCTGCATTTACCTGGAAGCTCCAAGCAGTTCTCATTAGCACATTACTCATGCTCACCTAGTCCCACACATCACCTTCCTCCTCACCCCACCTCCAGATCTTTTTTTTTTTCCTTTGTCCTATTTGCCCATTTATTTAACTGCAGTTAGGTTTTATTCTCCATGCCCTGAAAAGCACATTTTCAGAATGGAAATGCTACTGGAGAAAAGCAGGTAGCTGTGGGTTCTGTGRTTCCAACACACTCACACACCTACCCATTGCCCTCTGGTGAAACCCCACCCATCAATAGCACAGAGTGACAAGCCCTCTAAATACTTCCCAAGGCACTGCCCTGTGTTGTTCCTCCTGCACTGAGACAGTAAATCGTTAGCTCTGAGCCCTTGGGTTGTTTCTTGCAGCAATTAACAGCTGCCCCAGTGTTAATTCCCAATCAATAGCCCCTCAGTACTGCTGCTCTTAAGCTGACAGCTGATGGCCTCCACAGCACATTTTGAAAGTAACTTGCTGGGGAGGTGGGACTCTCTGCGCTCCCCAGGCATCCTCCAACACCAAGTATCCCTCACTGAATGTCAGGGGCCAAGGGACAGAGTGAGCAAGCAGGAACCTCCTTCCAATAGGATGACAGCCCAGGGAAGCAGGGAGAACTGAAACTCCCCTCTGGAGAAGCAGCCCTTTATGATATTCATGCAGCTTTCATTTTTTCTATTTTGGCTTTTTTAGAATTTTTTTTTTCCTGTTCGAGATGGCTGGATTTTTCTTCCATCTAAAGCTCTCATTCAAAGCAGTTTTGTTTTGTTTTTAAATCAGATAGCCAGAGTCTCTCATTTCTTGTCTGTGTTGCTTCCTCCAGCTCCCTGTGGACAGAATGAGACCCGAGAGGATGGCAAAATCATCCAGCTGCCCCCCTGCAAGACAGGAGCATGGATTGTGCCGGCCATCATGGCCTGCTACCTCTTGGTGGCAAACATCCTGCTGGTCAACCTTCTCATTGCTGTCTTTAAGTGAGTGGACCGTTCTGCAGCACATGGGGGGGTGGACATGGGGTGGAGGGAATTGATGCTCTAGAAAGCAGCAGGTTTTCTTATTTGATTCTCTCTGGTCTGTTTCAGCAATACATTTTTTGAGGTAAAGTCGATATCCAACCAAGTGTGGAAGTTTCAGAGATATCAGCTCATCATGACATTCCATGAAAGGCCAGTGCTGCCCCCGCCTCTGATCATCTTCAGCCACATGACCATGATATTCCAGCACCTCTGCTGTCGATGGAGGAAGCACGAGAGCGACCCAGATGAAAGGGACTATGGCCTGAGTAAGACTCAAGCGAGAGCCTGATGGCCAGGCCACCACAGTCAGAAACCCCACCCATTTCTTACAGGCAGCCATGCAGGGTCCTGGCTTGACTGGCTCCTCCCCCTCTGAAGACTAGGGGAGGGGGCACAAGGGAACATCTGCTTGCAGCAGAAACGGTACTAGAAAGAAGACAGTAGAAGCTGATATTAAGTGTTCTTAGCCTCACATCTTTCTTAGTGAGATAAAATCAGTCTCCAGCAGGGTTGTTTTAGCACCTTCATAGGTCCTAAGCGTCTTACTTCCCAGGGGTCCCACCTCCAGATACATCAACCATATTAATATGCATCTAACGCTGCATAATATATCATTTTTACACACTGTGACATGGTTGAGTTTCAGTGACTCAGTTTGATCCCCCATTGTCATTTCTGGATCTATAATTTTTTTCAGGTCTTAAGCATTTTCCTGAGCCTTAGAAGTTGAGCCCACATGACCTCATGAAGAAACAAGCCTTACTTTCTATTATGCAAAGAACAAAACGGGAGACTCCACCATCCATCTTCTAGCCCAGGGTTTCTAAAGGAAGTTCTGTTGACACTGGGGTAGAATAGTTCCTCTTTGTGTAAGACTGTGCCACACATCACAGAAAATTAGCATATCCACCCACACACATTAAGTACCAGTAGCTCCTGCAGATTCCTAAATGCCCTTTGGGTACCAACTCCACTCAGTTAAGAACATTGGGAATCCAGCCCCATACAGATCAGCTACTGTGGTTTCTCCAAGTACATTGAATCAAGCGCTTACATTAAATCTATGAACAAGACCTCTGGAATTGTGGTCTACTTCCCTCCGTGTGATACCTGTATATAGATTAGGTTTAAAACCAAAGCCACTTAAGCAGGTCCTTCTCCAAGTCTGAAGCTTTTAACTGTGTCCCTGACAGCAATTCCCTACTTTTTTCTAGACACTAAAACTGGGGAGTTGGAAAGAGCTGGGACATCCAAAATCACTGGTTCCATCTGAAACACAAATTTAGGCAAATAGAAAGTTGGGGGTGGGGTGAAGAATAATCTGCAAGTTGAACCCTGAACTTTTSTATTCAGGACTTTGACCAGTATGGAGGACGATGGGTTGCAAAATCAGGAGCAGAGGAATGTTATAATGAATTATACCCTACAATGGACACGCAGTTGAGGGTGAACTGGAGGTCCCAACAACATTTACAGTAAAGCATGGGTCATTTTTAGTAAAAGGAGAATGTCACTTATCCAGAGTGCTCAGGAAGGAGTGTGAAATTAAACATAGAAAGTGGAGCGGAGCAGTCCATAGACCTGTTTCTGCTCCAGGGCCCACCCCTCACATACCAGAGGACCAGAGCCAGCCAGACACTGGAGCAAGTAGGAAGCTCTAACTCATAGTTTTCTCACTGCTGTTACCGCTAGTGGCACAGGTCTCTGGGCACATGGAAGGGAGATTTCTCAGAGAATGAAGATTTGGGAGCTGTGGCTGGGTCAGAAAGGATGACGAGGAGACAGGAGAGCACTGTGTTATATATATATCAATCAAGGGAAAGTGAACTTTTCACTGTCAATCTGTAGCCTTAATTAAAAGATCCCAGGGCACTGCCAGGTTCTTGCAGAGCCTCAGATAAAAGCACTCTGAAGTGTAAAATGTAAGCTATATTGCAAATTTGACATGTTGATGGATTTTTAAAAAAATAATATTTTATTTTTTTAAGAAAGAGCATTACATTTAGCCAAAGAAGTCAAAGGAAGTGCTATTAAGGTGCCAACAGAGTAAGAATTTGGAACACTTCTCTGGRCTCAAATATAGCAATAGTAAGAAGGAGTCTGTACTTTGCAGGCCGCGATGCCTGGTCTCTTTTCATGGGTCTCTCTCCCACCCACGGCTCTATGTAATTTCATAACTGAACCTCAAGTGTCCACTTCTGAGAAAACCCTCCCTCGAAGAAAAGGAAGTGAGAAAGTGAGAGACAGGTGAGCGAGAAATGAAGGACAGAGACCAGGCAAAGACCCACACAAAGGTTAATTTGTCAAAGCTGACAAATATAAGGTCATTTCTCTATAGAGAGGGAAGAGGCCCCAGATGTTCAGGTGCTCAGCTTTTGTGRGGTAGGGGTCTGGAGTTGTTGTTCTGGCTCTGTGGGAGAGACTGGGGGTGCTTGTGTCGGAGCTAGGTGGGTGGGGAACAGCATGGGATTGGCTTAGGTCCATGTCACCCTGGGGCTTTTCAGATCAAAGGGGTCGCATCCTTCTGGGATTGACTTAGGGTTATGGTACCTTGGGGTAGGTTACTAATGGGGGTGGGAGGAGTTCATGTAAGAGGAAGTACAGGAAAGCTAAACTTATCTCATATGACGGCAGTTAACATTTAAGATGGCTGCTCAAATGTTAAATCAAGACCCTATACTCACCTCAAGAAGTCGGCCATATTTAAGAAAAGCAGTCTGATTTCTGGTATTTTCTTTACTCTCATCTGCTTTTAAATTCATATTTTCCATGCCCCCAGCAATTTCAAACAAAAKCCTCAAAGCAAGGAAGATAGAAAATTCCTGAAGAGCTAAGATCCAGAATTCCAAACACTTGAGATGATCCCTGTGGCACCTCTAGGGCACAGGATTAGAAGAAGGACTTGCTCATTTATGGTTCTTCCAAACCAGCTCTCTCAGCCCAACCCTAATTCATGAACCCATTTAAAGGCTCACATTTCTACTGGGCTCTTTTCATGCTCTATTAGTTATAAGTTTACCTGCTGTAAGGAGAAAACCAGAGTAACAATAGCACGAATAAATATGGTTTTGTTTTTCTCACATAACAAAAAGTAAGGAGATGGATAATCCAGACTCAAGGATGGTTCCCTGAAGTCAAGGGCCCAGAGGCCTTCAGTTGTTAGGCGAAGCTCTTCCTTTTGTGCTCTCTTGTTTCATAGCCACAGAATAGCTGCCTCTGATCGAATCTAGCGTTCAGAAGGCAGTGATGCAAGTCACCTAATTGGATTTGGATTTCATTTGAGACTAGACGCTAGGCCCCTTTTTCCCCGCCTTGATTCACATTAGGAACTTCATTAGGCCCACAGATTCCTGCCATCACTGTTGTTTCTCTGCCTCATGGCTCTCATTTTTTTTTTCCACAGAACTCTTCATAACCGATGACGAGCTCAAAAAAGTACACGATTTTGAAGAGCAGTGCATAGAGGAATATTTCAGAGAAAAGGATGATCGATTCAACTCATCCAATGATGAGAGGATACGGGTGACTTCAGAAAGGTGTGTTCCCTGGGCACACGCCTCCTGCAGATGCTTTATGGCGTGGTCCGCTTTACCCATTGAATTCATTCTTACGATCCCCAATCAGARACCCCTTGTGCTTATTTTTTATTTTCCAAGAAAGCATAGAGCTTCTGAGAGAACAGAACATTGCATGAGGTGCTATGGATCAAATCCAGACTTGGAGATCCTAGGCTTCTTCAGCAGGCAGTAGCAGCGGCCCTCCTGGACAGCAGAGATTGGCAAGTCCAGGGCTGGCATTGCTGACTCAGACCAGTAACTAGAAAATTTGGACCCAGACACAAACCAAGAGAGACTCATTCTGAATTTATACTTTTCCAACAGTTTCACTGAGCACTGAGCATCTTCTCTGGCAGAGTACAATGGTACTAGGGCCTAGCTTATATGTGTACTAAGTACTTTCCAGATAAACAACAGCAAGAGACTTTTGTATCAATGAGAATCATTATTGTTTTTTTTTTCCCAGAATTGTTTTGTTTTGGTTTTTGTTCTTTATAGAACAAGATAAAAACAAAAATAAAATAAAATAAAATAAAAGCAGATTTTTTCTACCCTGTGGTTATATACTTTTAGATCTCATTGACCAAGTAGTTTTGAGAGCCAGTAGGGAAAAAAATCTCCAAATAAAAAGAAGAGAATCCTTTAAATCTAATACAATAGATTTATGCAAATGCTCATATATTTTCTTGTTGTTCTTGTTTTATTGTAGACTTACAAAAACTCAATTCTAGTGCACTTGGGAACTATTCTAAAGAACACTCAGAGTATAACAAAGAATGAGTGTAAATTTACATTTTAACCATTTGCAATATGAAAATGGCAAAAGCTACTTAATAAATAGTGTAGAAAAATAGATATTGATGACTTTATCTAATATGAATCAGGATTCTAAGATTCAAGACATTCATTTTTAGCTTTCATAAAATGACATTTTGGGGAAAAAATGACATTTTTTGCCTGCTTATCCACTTCATACATTCTCTACTGAATGTAAAAATTAAATGAATAACCCTGGCCCTTTATTTCTTTGCAGAATGCAGTCCAAATGAACGTGTGTGTGTGTGTGTGTGTGTGTGTGTGTGTATGCATTTGAGTGATTGTATCCATAGGTACCAAGTCAGTAGTAAAAAAATTTAAAGCCATGCAGATTTTATACACATCTGTCACTAAAAAGAGAGCATTTTGTGATGATATCATGTGAAGCAATGGAAAGCAGAGGAAATAGCTACAAATCTGAAGGTCTTTCCCATTCTCAGGCCTTGAAAAAATTATTTATTAATGGACAGATAGCTAGGTGGGTCCCAGAAAATTATGCCATGTAAGCACATAACCATTGCTCGGGCATCTTTCCAAAGCTTATATCTACAGGCCTTTGAAATGCCTTTGAATTTGGGAAATCCCTAGACCTTGAAGGGAAAAAAAAGGTCGGGAGGAAGGAGTGTTAAGATGCCAGAAAAGCCAGATGCTGTGGTACACACCTGTAATCATGGAGACTCCAGAGGCTGAGGCAGGAAGGGGATTGCAAATTCAAGACCAGCCTGGGAAATTTAGCAAGACTCTGTCTTAAAATAAAAAGCAAAGAGGACTGGAAATGTAGCTGAGTGGTATAGTGCCCCTGGGTGCAATCCTAAGTAAAAAAAAAAAAAAAAAAAAAAAAGAAGAAGAAGAAGAAGAAGAAGGTGAAGGAGGAAAAAGAAGGCAGGAAGTCTTTGTCTCTTCGGGGAACTAGAGTGAGGAGCTGCAGACAGCAGCACATGTGAACGCACTGTGACCATGTCACCAACTCCTTCTATAAAGAAACAGTAGGGAACTATAGCACTGGGTGGGAGTCTGTGTCTGTAAACCCTTCCCCAAGACCCAGTTCTGTCTGGGTGGTTACAGAGCCCCACCCTCAGAGAGGGTGAGAAAGGTGAGCAATTTGCAGAAACCCAGAACAGAGTGTAGAGCCTACCCTCCCTGCATTCTGGAGTAATAGACCTGGAGAATCAACATGCCCTCAAGACCAAGCCCAGGTACCTTGAGCCAAGCCGCATTCTGTTTTGTGGYTTCTTCTGCACTTGTCTGGAGATTTTATTTTGATTGTTTCCTGTTGCTGTCCTTTTTTGTTTTGTTTTATTTTGTTTTGTTTGCCTTTGGAAGCATATTAAAAAGAAATATCTTTCAACACCAAAACTGCACTCAGCACAACCGAAACATTGGGGTGCCCCGAGGGAAGAGAGTGTGACCAAAGGATGAGTCGATCCATATTGCCCATCTCACATATCTCCAGGACATGCCCTCTCTCTGAGTCGGAGCGCAGCAGACGTCACATGTCCTGATTGCATTCTGTTGGTAGAGAAGARACAGATACACATATGTGTATTATATAGATACACATTGGGACAGATACACGTGGTTGAATCATTCTAAGTTACCTGTGCACACTCTACATAGTACAGAGAACATTACATAATTCAACCTTTATGTTAGGCAACCCCAATAAAAGAGGGAAAGATAAATAAGTGTTCCTTGCATGGAACCTCTTGTTTTCCATAAGCGCTTTTTCTTTTTCTTTATACTCTGTCACTCTGTGTCACCTTGGGGATTCCTGTTGATCCATACGTTCTCATCATCTATGCCTCCATTTTAAATTCTGAGTTATTTGATCAAAATCAGCAACTAGTGGCTACAATCATGACCCAAAACCCCTGGTTGGCTCCTCAGGCCTGTTTATATGGGATACATACCTGTTTAACTTAACTTTTCAAGAAGAATTTTTAAAAGAGTAAGGGAAGTACTCTCATTACATATTAAACATGTAAATTGGACTCTAGGATATTTCATTTAAAAAAAAATTACTACCCCTTTTATTTTAAAAAAAAAAAAGACCCTATTAGGTCCATAACTTAAATGACTCAGACAATTGGATGTTTACATAGTCAAGAAYACCCAGAGTTCTGCAAGAAAATGCATGAGACAATTCATTATTATTATTTTAGGCAAGACTAACTTTCCAGCCAGACATGGTGGCGCATGCCAGCTACTCAGAGGTTAAGGCAGGAGGAGCCCAAGTTTGAGGCCAGCCTCAGCAACTTACCGAGACCCCATCTCAAAATAAAAGATAGTAGTATAGTGCCTGTAAATTCAATCCCCAGTGCCAAAAGAAAAGGCTCACATTTCAACCCACCTCCGAGCCCACAGGAGACTGAAGTTGGTGAAGAATGATTCTTCAGCCCTGTTGTATAGGCCTTCCTCCCCTGGTTCCAYTCCCTGGGACCGTGTTGTTTTCACTCTTGGGGCTCCTGCCAGCTTCTCCTGACTTTCCCTGAAGAACCTCTTCTTCCTATACCCCCTGACTTCCTCGTATCCTCCTTGGGCTCCTCAGTCTGTGTCCAGCTTCCTGCCTACAACAGGTCTTCTGCTGCCAGCTGTTGGCACCTCAGCTCCACCTCTCACCTGCTAGTTTTCTCTATGACATTGGATCCTGGAGCCAAAGGCAGGTGGGTCATGGGAGAGAGGCCCCACAGTACAGGCAGTGAGGAGAGATTTCACAGCTCTTGGACCAATGATCATTCACGTGCAATTATGCCAAAAGAGCATCTTTATCTTTTTCAAATATCAACCGTATATAAATGGCCCTGAAAATAATAGAGGAGGGATAAAACTGTTCTGCCCTTTCTTGTTCTTCTAGCTCCAGCAAGTTAATAGGACCAAGTACCTAGGATATGTTAAACAAAAAAGCTAAAAAAAAAAAAAAAAAAAACCACTGGATTATACAAGGCCTGGCAGTGCACATCCATAGTCCCAGCTACTCTGGGCTGAAGCAGGAGTTCAAGACTAGCCTGGAAAGCACAGTATGGTCCCATATTGAAACAAATTTT